ATCAAAATCCTGTGAATTATGATTTGCTGAATAGAGCCTCAGTTCATGCGACGCCGTGCGACTGAGCGCGCCTTGAGCGAGGGTGCGTCTGGCCTAGATTCCGATAATTCTTGTTTTACCTACGTGCATACTACTACGTAGTATCAAAGTAACTCGAATTTGTAATCCCAACCCATTACACATGCAAAGGACTGACGATCAAACCACGGCGGTGTCCGTGTGGAGTTACTTATACAGAGTAGATTTGTTCAATTTAAAGGTGGGTGATTATAGATCTGCAACATGTACCAGGAGACCCCAAGCTAGCTAAAGATGTACTTAAATACTTAGAGACGTATTTGTACACAAAAATTCCGATGCCCATCAATTGCCCATGTATGACGAGAGACCCCTGTTCACTCCCTCCTTCCCACCTTCCATGTAGAGTCGCAGACAAACGGAATTTCCCGAAAAATCGATAATCTGATCATAATTCACAAGTTGCGTCAAATCATATTGAGCTTCTCAGACACCGAAGGTTGAACGGTTGTGCGAAACCTATGGAAGGGGTCGGTGTGTCGTAACAAAGGTTGTTTCCCGGCGTGGATGTTGCACAGTCAGTCACACCGACACGAGTATTGTCGCTGCGCGACTACATAGCCGTTAGGATCCGCGATGGGGCGGGTTAGCAAGCACGGCACGAAGCAAAGATACTTGGCATCATTGATCGCGCTGGGCGCCTATGTACACATGTGACGTACATATTTGCGAGCAGCGGAAGCGGAACCCAACGCATGAAGGTAGATGAGGGTAGATGCAGGCGAGGATTCATAATGTACTGCGTCATCCAGGGAGCGCTACTATACCATTGAAAGTAAATCTCTCTCCATCAGTGCATCAGCCCTGATCTGCGTGAAAAAATGAATCAACCGAGAGTCATCACAAGATGTTGCAAGGTCACAACCGGAAGGAGCACACGGCCATCTTTCCAACTATATCTGTAAGTTTATACTTGGTTTATACAGCTCATAGTACATATACGTGGATGACTCGAGTCAGATGATTATGCCAGCGCGAGAGGTCGTAATTGAAGTTTATTCGAGCTTAGGATGCCCGAATCAGTCAGCTGGACCGCGCTGTACATGGATGGAAGCACTAGCCACGTAAAGTATGTGACGGTCGTGGTGCTGAGAGGTGACCTAACCTAATCTGTGGAACTGATCCAAAATTAAAGAATACATGTATCAAGTGGACCGCCCTGCAGCCTCGAGATCACATTTCAATCAAAAAAGATAGAAGTACTACTACTATTGCCCTGCCATAGATTGAATAATTTCCCTTCTTCATATATCGGGTGAATGTGTCTTTATAGAGAGTAGGACTTATGTATCATAGGGATCCATTCAGACTCCAGAGCGGGCGAACAAACGTCCAAGAGAGACGGGGCGAAGCCTAAAGCACGTGTATCGAAGGGACGTCTATTTTTACGCAGGTCTGGTGATGGGTTACATAACCGATTGCCCCACGCGGGATTGGTAGTGTGAAAATTCCCAGGCCGACTCTTGTTGTTGTTCTCCCAGCTTCAGACCTCCGCCTGATCTTTCCGCGGATTCACGTTCCTTTTCTCTCTCTGCTGGATGATATTCTCATCGGAAACATATCCAACGTGAAAAATGTCAACCTCTAGTGCGTAAATTCAGTGCGGCCGCAGGACTGTCTAACTAATGACCATGCGCTGTAGCCTCTACTGGCGATACGTGAGTGAATTGATTATGGGGAACAGGAACCAGTTTCAAATGGCGCGGATCTCAGGTCAAGTACAGCCACGTCGACTACTACCAGCTCGCCTACCTCCACCTCCACCACCTCCACCACCTCATCAACCTCCACGACCGGCCTAACTACGACCACGACTAGTTCTCCTGCCACCACTTCCACCACTTCCACCACTAGTTCTACCAGCTCTACCAGTAGCAACACGACAACAACTAGCACTTCGACCACCAGTGTTATCCCTACTACTAGTTCCACTTCGGTCTCGACTACTGCAGCTCTTACGACATCTGCAGTCACGACGACTAAGGGAGGTGCTGTTGTCACGCAGACATCGACACAGTTTGTCTCTTCTACAAGCACTGTGCCGACAAGCTCAAGCACTGCTGTCGCTTCGGGGGGATCAAAAGGGTGAGTCATTAGTTTTGCTATCACCTTTGCATTTCTTGCCAGTACTTTTGTCTGGCTTCGCAGTGTTCTTTTTCTCTCGACGCTGGTACATATGGACTAGGTGTATCCAGGCGTTCTAATTCCGAGGCCCGATGGTCGCCCATGTCCCCTATCGTCCATCACTACGATTTCACTTTTTCGCTGATCGCCATTGCACTTCCCTCTGAAAGTTGCATCTTGCGCGACATTGTTGTAGGCTTGTCAACTGTCATACTTGGGCTGCACGCATCTCTTTTTTTCGGCTCATCACATTTACCAACGTAGCATTCCCATCACCATCAATCTATTTATGACTTTTGACATAACGGGGATTCCCGGAAACAGTTTGCTGATCAATGATTTTTTTTTGCAGATTCTTCGCCAATACCGGTGCCGTTGCGGGTGTGTTTTCTGTCGCCGGTCTCATCGTTCTCGCTATTGCCATTGCCCTCATCACCAATGGCATACGCCGTCGCCGCGCACGCAAGTTCGATCGCGAGCTAGCAGCAGCCACCTTAGAAGCGGCTTCGGCTCCCAAACCTATCTTCTTAGACGATGAAGACGACGAATATGGGCCCGGAGCTGCGCGTGGTGGTTATGGCGGTGGATCCGGCGGGGGTGACATGGGCTACGGCGGGCAATACTCCGACGCCTCCAGCCATGGGACTTACGCACAGCCAGCAATGAGCGCGGGCAGCCACGGCGAGTCCTACGGCATGCGCGAAATGAGCAGCGGGCAAAGCATGGGAAGTGCGATGCACAACGTGGGCCCTGGCGATATCTTCGATCCCTACGCGGTCGGCGCGGCCGGAGCTGCAGGTGCAGCGGGCATCGGTGTGGCCCGTGCGCGAAGCGGCCGCGTGGCTGGCGACGGCGGGTACGCAGCGGCATTGCAAGAAGGTTCCGCTCCATACGCTGCGTTTGCTGCTCCCACCGGCCCCACTCGACGTCCATCCCAGAACAACGTCGACATCTTGGAGGCCGCGGGCATGGGCGCTCATGCCGCCGGTGCGGGCGCGCTCGCTCGCGGTCCATCTGTTTCCCAGCCACAAGGCCAGTACAACTCGCAGTATCAACCGTACCCAGCGTCGCAACAGGGCTCGCAGCTTCACCAACGCTCGCCGTCAGCCTCCGCGGAGTATGCGAACCTCGACCGGAGCCGTTCGACGTCCGGGAGAGACGCCATGCCAGCTCCGTACGCTGCCGCCGACGCGTATTATCCTCCGCAGCAGCAGGGCGGGTTCGCCCAGTACGAGCAGCAGCCACAACCTCAGCACTACGACCAACAATACAACGGACAGCAGTACGGCCAGCAGCAGTACACAGCACAGGGATATCCCCAACAGCAGCAGTATGCGTCTCAGTCACAGCCTCAGCCACAGCAATCTCAGCAAGCCAACCGGTACTCTGTCGCCGACGACGACGACGATGCATACGGTGGGTATGTTGCAGAAGAACACCCCGACGAAGTGGGTGGTGGAGCCGCTCCGAAGTTCCCAAGTGCTTTCGGGCCGGAAGGCGTGGAGAGGGAGAGGGAACGCGACAGCAGTGCTGAGGATGATGAACCAAAACGGGTTTTGAAGGTACGTGGTCCTCTAGTCATCTGCAGTAAAGAAGCATACTTACCCTCGTAAGGTTGCGAACGAGTGATCGATTTGATCCACTTCGATCACCCGCAACAACGTATTTTCTCCCCTCTTTATCTTCCTTGCTGATCCCATCTCTCCGGACTTATTTGCTTCGTTGGGCTTTGGTTGTATATATTCACACTCGACGCCGAGTTATCCGTATCATTATTTCCCTGTAATCCTCACCTACCCATCTACCCCGTCTGCCACGTCTCCATCGCTTCACCTCTGCGCATGGGCCGCGGACGGCACCTCGACCACGCTCACCCTACCCACCTCCCACCTCACCCTCGACGTCGAGTGCCCGCGAGCCATCCCCGAAACGGACAACCACGCACACACCGCACCTCCTGTATATATACCTGCTGCTTCTAATCCCCCGCTCCAGCCTCCTTGGGCCTGCGGTCTTCCCTCCTCGCGCACCACCCGCCCTTGCCCTGCGTGCTGGACTAGGGCTCCAAGTAGCCTGTCGTCGCCGCGCACAGGCGTGGCGTCCATCTGCCCGTCTTTTTTCGTACCGAAATTTGCGTCTTTACTCTTCTATTTTTATATGCTTGCTTGCCACCCTACCTCTTCTTGATACCCCGTCTGGGCCCGGCCCCGCGCCTGTGAAGCACCAGCGTAAATTTTCTTGTCGTTTGGAGTATTTATATTTGTTGTCTGTGCGGTAGTGGGTGCTTTTGGGCCATGCATGAATGCGACGAATGGGTATCGTAAGTGTACCGGAGAGCTCGGCTGGTGTAGGCTGCGGATGCGGTACCATTGACTCTTTTCACGGTATGCTCAAGATGTTCCCGGTTGACTTGGACGTTGTTGACAACACGTACTATAACAGACTATAGCATGATTGCGAGGCAGTGATGATTATCCGGGCTTGATTAGCGGCGTACTAAGCGGGATGCTTTGAATCCGACGCGATGAGGGTGGGTCCAAAGACTAATTTAGCGCCTCACTATCTGAGCTATAGACTCCTGAGTTCTGGCTCCTAAAGCCTGTCAGTGAGACGGAAGTCCAGTGAGTTGACTCTCAGACTCCGGAGTCCGACAAGTCGACGACTGACGGACCACAGTGACCGGTGACCTCTGGAGTCTGAAGGTGGCTGCTGAATTTTGAAGTTTGAACTTTCAACTAACTTCTAAGTCTGTCCGACCGTCGACGTTGTCGCCCTCAAAAGTTACAACAAAAACTCGATTCCGGTACGGGGAATCGAACCCCGAGCTACCGCGCAATTTTTCACCAACGCACAAACACGCAGTATACATGAAAGGCGGTAATGTTAGCCGTTACACCATACCGGATGAAGGTATGCGCTTTACATTAGGCCACGCATCCGGAAGGTGTTCCATAGACCTCTTTTTCCTGGCGTACCTATGACTTGCCTATGACCATGAGTTTGCCCTGAGTAGCAATTGGCATTACGATTGATGGTCGACAGATATACACCAGGTTAAATTAACCTAACTGGACACTAATTGAGGCGTATTCTAATTTAAGTGTGAATCATGAACTGCAATCTTAGTCCGTACCGAAGACACTAAATGTGCTCAGAGATGAATATTTAAAGTCGGTACGCACGCTTCGTATTCTACGTATCTCATCGCCAACGCATAAAAGCCCCCATAGCTGCCTCACAATGTCTTTCGTTGAAATTGCTACTTCTAAAACAGCGGGATCAAAGGAAATAGCTGATGCACAATTAGCGGTGGTAGAGTATCTGGATTTTGTCAAAAATGCCAAAGGGTGTAAAAGGTGTGTTCTCGAAGACCGTTGTGAGCCGTTGATCGTTTCCTGATGGCCTCGCAGCATAATCCAAGGTTACGAGGCAGAAGACAAACAAATTCACTACACGATCACCGGTAGTTCACTCCATAAACTGTGTTTAGGCTCGGATCAACTCACCTTCGACCTTTTTCAAGTTTGGGACTCGTATGAAAGTTACACAAAGCTTCATACCTACTCCGAATACCTCCCCCTCCTCGAGGCGGTGAAGAAGCTTGAAAGCTTATCGTGTTCTTCTGTCCAGAATATACACCTCGACACCGACGCAGCCACTCTGTTTGATTGCTGCGTCGTGGAATTTGTGACGATCAAGCCAAAGGAAGGACACAGTGTGGCTGACGTGAAAACAGCCATCACTAAGATACAAGAAGCTACCGCGCACAAGTCACTCGCCATGGGAGATGTGATGGGCGACGCCGAAAGCATCATGCTTCTTGTTCCATGGGATAGCATCGAGGTGAGCTTGAATTGACTTCAGCAGGGATCGAAATTCATACCGACAACATCCATTAGTCCGCTAAAAGCAAGGGTAACGCCGTGCATGCGGAGATCCCACTGGCAGTGAATGCGTTGTGTGCTATTTCTGATATTCGTTCGGTCTACGCTGCCGGTCTGAAGCGCATTTAAGTGATATGATTTGATATGTACACCGAACGTAGATTTATGTGATTGTTCTATATATGGTTTTTGTGGTTGAGTCTTGTTACGAGACTAGACAAGAAGAAACGTTGGGGTGATTCCTTCAACTATACTTCAGATTTCAGAAAAACACTCTCCTCGGGTTTATAGTCGGCTTCGGAGAATCAAGTTAATGTCATAAAATTGTTTAATATGGATGATACGACCCACCTCCGAGTAGAAAAGCCCCATCCGTTTCTCCTTTTCCCGCATTTCTTGCTCCAAGATAACAAAACCGGGTAGAATTTCATCGATGAAGCTCTCTGCATCGCGCTGAATAAAAAAAGATGCACTGGCTCCTGCTTTAATCCAAGCTAATGGGCGGTCAAGGCTGCCCTCAGGGTACAGCTTGAATGTGTTTCATGAGCCATTTGTCTGATTTAAAGAGTAGATTATAACGTACAGCCAGACGGGTCTGTGCATCGGATTTCCACATAAAATTCCCATTTCCTGTACTGACGTGCCATATGCTGCTACTACGAGCAGAGGGATAATCAAATTAGCGACTTTATCCAACGAATGCATTCCTAGGTGGCGCTCACGGCAAGTCCGTCTCCTGAGATTCACTGTTGCGAAGCCACTCTTTCAGCTTCAGTTTCTCGCCGCCATAGCGTTGAGTGAATGTGATGGTGTCAGATGCAACCCAGCGGCGCTGTATTGTGACGAGCAGCTCTTGCGTACGCAGATCTGTGATCCGCGTGCACGACACCGACTTGTCCAGCGTGGAGATCGAATAGTACGGCTTCCCGTCGCGTAGGAGGAGGGTATTTAGTACGCTATTCTTGCTACACACGAGCTCTACTGGAGGCTGGGGGTTGACAAGGGTGACCTGGGAGCCCGAATGATACATGGTCGGTACGAATATTGAAGTTGAAATGCATAAGAGAATATTATTTATAGTGTACAGGAAGTAAATATACGCAAAGTAGGATTAGCTACCGACAATGCTCCATCGCTTGACCTGAACACTTGTACTCACAGAGTTGTAACGAGGCAGTGTAAAAGCTGCGCCGTCGACTGCGAAAGACGCGGAAATACGGGCTGAGAAGCCCGATGTACACCAAGAACATACTAAAAGTAATAGACTGGCCACTACCCTAGACTAAGTAAATTGGCTCGATGAGTACATTTTCGCAAGCGTAGGCTGTACGAAAAAGCACATGGTATATTGAAGTATTCGCGCCTTTACGGCGCCAAACGAGGAGTCTCGTGCGCGTGAACTATGACTGCTTGCTCAATGTATTCAGTCGCACGTTCTGATGTGTGTTTTGGCTGTGTTACACTCGGCGATTCGATCTAGACCGTATCTTGGGAATAAATCATGACTTCCCCACACTTTTACCATGATGACTGAATTATGCAAATTACGATTCGGCGTTGTGATCTAGACAGTTATTAGTCTTCCCATCATTATTAAGTCAGGGTTAGGGTTAGGACGACCGTCCGACCAAAAGACGCCCGCCCAGCTAGTGGCCACTAGCCGGAGCGGGACAGGTAAAGATTGTGACGGTATATGAGCCTTGAACGAACTGAAGGGCAGGATACCCTCAGGGATCCTCTGCGGACATGGTCGCCGTGCTATGGATAAATCCCTGCAGGCCACAGGCTCATATAAACCGCAGATACATCCTGCGGACAAGGTCGCCGTGCCATGGGGCGTATCTGCGGCCCATGGACCCAGATAGGCTTGCTAAAGTGCCTCCCTGACGGGACCCATGCCATCGCGATTTATGAGTAGGTCAGGCGTCTGTTTGTTCCTTTTGTACCGCAATATATTGCGCACGGACCACGTAGACTCTGGAAGGGGGACGTAGATATTATCAGCCATTTTTGTGGGTATATGTGACTCACTCGAGGCCCTGGATATTTGTATTGGTGACGAAGTTGGCCCTCAAGACAAGTATAGTGCACTCTGCCATACCGTTTACATATGTCGCGTGCGTTCGATATGCTAGCTGCACAAGGCCATACAGCCTGGGTCTGGCGACGTCTTTGTGAAGCGCTTGACGCTCGGTGCGTACGACGGGGTATGGGTATAGGCGCTATTTGACGCGCGCACAGAAAAGAAAGGGAGCGGCAGCCGGGGTGGGAGTATGGAGGAGGCGGAAGGAGGCTGGAACATGCGGACATGGATGGCTTGGCCAACGGACGGAGATGTGGGTGCGCTGCCGGAGCCACAATGGCGGTCAGCACGACGAAGAACGCGCGCTTGAAGGACGTTCAGCCGTCACCGGGAAGGCGTTCATGCTCGCCACATCCGCCACCTAGATCCAAAGCGTTGCAGGCCAATCGTACGCACGCGCAGGAGCGAAAGAGAGGTGGCGAAATTCGGCGAGGAACCTCCGAGGAACGTGGAGAGAAGCAATCAGGGAAATGGTTCAGCGCATGCGCAGCAGCACGAAGGGCGCACGAGATGTGAGCCATCGAATCCTCTCCCTGCATGGGCGTCGAAGTGATGGCCTAGGAGTCGGTACATAGAGTACAATGAGGATAACGGTGACGCGCATGGGCAGAGGGAGCGACTCACGGGGGATCCACGCAGAATATGCGATCTTGCGATGCAGTAGTGCACCGCTAGGCCAAGTTGGTTCTTCACCCAGGCGCGGATGAACGGAGCCTTCCTTGAAATTTGGTGTGGGCGGCCTGCATGTCTGTAGAAATTTGGTAGAAATGCGAAGTTTCAACGCGACGCGTCGGGCGAGGTTGTCACTGAGTCAAGCCTGGGATTGGCCTGGGAAGTGAAAAAAGCTTGGCGTCACGGGCCGTCGTGGATCGCACGCAGTTCACACTGTGGGAAAGCTTGCAAAGTATATGTTAGAACTAGAAAGATATAATTAGGAATTTTATCTCGTTAAGTGGAACGTATTAGTATGCTTCTCCTACTTTGTGAGTAGCTTGTCACTAATACGATGCCGACACCAGTCTCGAGCATGTCATTTGCATATATTCCTCCTCGTACTTCAAGTTCCCACTCTTTCATTATCAAAGAATGCCTGAGAGTCTTGGTACCATTACATATGGCGTCTCGACATGCACATAAATACCGCTGGTGCTGTTCTGATAGCATGGGAGCGCGAGTTCACCCAGCAGTCGTTTCATCACCGCTCTGACTTTGACGTGGCAAATCCTCTTCAACGAGGTAGAAAATCACGCGCTTAGCGTGATATTGAAATTCAATACCTTGCTGTAGTCTTTTCTAATTCCGAAATTCTCCTTGCGGTCAACGGCTGCGTCAATGAGTGTTCATTCAGACCTGGGAGCGACATCGTCATACGGATTTAAGTGTCTGGGTGCTTGTCGCTTCATCCCACCTGGGGTAATACAGAACGTATAAATGTGGTGTAAGAAGTGCAGGAAGTGCAACTTGTCTGACTCTTCCACCGACATCTGACCGTGACATGCAACTCACTTTCATCCTCGTTCTGTCTTTCGTTGGTCTCTTCTCTCAAGGTGTATCTTCCCAGTGCACATTCAGCTTTGGGACGTCTGCGGTCAGATACCTTCCCTGTGTTTGTATTTTTATCGTGTCTGATCACAGCGTATTCCGTCATCATCCACAGGCAGCTGCATCGGTAAGGGCCTACTAAGATTATCATCAATCTCTTTTCCGCGTCAACTGGAATCATTACTAGGAGTGCAGAACAGCGTGCAGCGGTTGCTGTGCCGTAAACCCCACTGCTCCAGAATGCGTGGGCGGCTTGTCGCAATGCGTCATTGACTGTCGTGAGTATGCTTCAACGCCTTCACACAGTCTGTGATTGGCGTATTTACGCAGGAATTTTTTCAGGTGACCTTTAGACAGATAACGTACTTAGGAATTTTCATAGGCTGGCGTGCATAG